GACTGTTTTGCGAGCCGTCCAAATAGCTTTTTTGATGGGCGTAAACATTACACATAGACAAAGAAATGATACGCGATCAAAGAAGCGAGATGATTGATTTGAAAATTGCGTTGGGTCATCAAGTCGCACATCACCCTGTCTTACTCGGGGACCGAGTAAAGAGGTCAGACGTGTTGAACACCCACTGATGTAAGGCCAGGTTCGACCGAAAACTAAACAGAGTGGAAACATAATGCGCTGAGCGCCGTTCCATTAGGATATGCCGTGCTTTCGAGTTGATTCCAAAACCGTGATTTTTTTAATGAATTCATGTACTACTTTCTGTAAACTATAACATATGTAGGGTAAAGGTACTCGCTAAAAATGTGGTGGGGCCGTTGAATTAGTTCATCTGGTTATTATTCTTATTCACAGCGATCGAAGCAAAACCTTGTCCCGCACTTTCATGCAGAGGTTGACCGTTGCGTTCAGACTTTTCACAAAAAATTTGCACCCCCCCCCCCTTCCACCAGGACCATCAGCCATAGGAGACTCCCCAAAACCGAAACCCTTTCTTCCTGCCGCGACAACCACCCTCACCATCATGGCACCCATCTCCGCCCACTTGTTACTCCGAAAACCGAGCAACCGTGAAGGTGGGGAAAAGAGGGGGAGGAGGAGGGGGACAAATTAGTACCATGGAGCGGCAAATCCACTAGAAACCCGTGAAATACCATCCTTTTACGATCCCTGTTCACACTTTTCCTAGAGCTAATTAGCCTTTCTCAACTCCAAAACTCAAACTCTCCCCCTTTCCCACAATTGCAAATGCGACCTCGTTCAAATGGTGCGGAGGGTTCCTTTCAAGTCGCGACTGTTCCACAGCTTCAGTGCTTGATAACCCTGCTACCTAACTACGTAACACACGCTGAGTCTAAAGATCCAATCCGAACTAAGCCTTCAAAAATATCCTTGAAGCCCAATGGTTTCTGAAACGACGTCGCAAGCAATGCAAAACGCTCCAACTCACCCATAGAACAGCAATATTTGGCTAAGATTATCATCATTCCTGACCTATAGCATGGCGATCAAAGCCCACAGATGTCAGACAATAGAAAGTTTCATGGGATTAAACCTACTAAAAAGGCCAGCCTCTACTGAATACCGTTTCCATAACTCATCTTATGACATAGCTAGGTGCCTGTCTCAAACGGATTCGAGGCAGGTCAACCGTCCGTTCGCACTATTCGAACGAGGGGTCGCATTTGTGATTTCGGGAAGGGGGGTCGCATTTTGGGGTTGAGCAAGGTTATCATAGTGGGAACGGAGGTTGACGGAGGTCGTAAAAGGGTTGTGTTTGGACGGGTTTTTTGAATTTGGTGAAAGTTTGACGAAATTAATGCAAATCTTTTTGGAGTCAGGCTTCACGATACCACCCCATTGCCCCCCTCCCCCCTTTCCCTCGCCCATTGACGCGTTTTGGAGACCAAAGTTGGCGCGCAGTTGGCTGTATCGACTGCTCTAGCAGTAGCCATGAGTGAGGGTGGTGTCGGAGAAGGGGAGCGGATTCACAACTGTGGCGGTGAACTCTCACAACATTTGAAAAAATGCGCCACGTGATGTGGACCCTGGTCGAACGAAGGAGGGAGGCGGGGCGGAATGATGCCAAACGCCAAGACAACTCTGTTCTTTTCATTAATGGCCTGAAATTGACTGATAAGATACTAGTCGAGTCACAGATACTGTATACGAATTTGACCTATACAGGGGCGTGCACACTGCACATTCAATGTTGTAGTCAAGAAGTAACCTTTCTTCAAACCCTGAGAATGGAGCCACGACTTTTTTCGCCACCATACGGATCTTCACCCCATGTATCACCTGTCGTCCCGTTGATCGTCGATTTGCTCGAGCGGGCGCCAGCAACGTCTCCATTCGTCCTGTCGCGTGCTAGAGTGGTCCAGTGGATCCTCCTTGCTCGAGGGACACGAGCCATTCATTCATACGGAGCTTTTACGCGGACAATTATCCCTTGTGCCGCATTTACCGCTACTCTGCGACACCTTGGCATATTCGTATTGCGCGCTACACAGATAAACCAATAAAAAACTGATCATTCGGCCATGACCATCTTCTTTTAGGAAAATGTCGCCAACGCACCCACTCATCGGATTATATGGCCTTGTCGATTCGATATGTTTAATAAGGACCTGCACAGTCCAGTCTTCTCATCGTCAGATGTCGGTCAGACTCTGCGATTGCATCGCGCGATGCAGTCGCTCTGCCTAGAGCGATTGCATCGCTCCAAAGTGCGAGCGACAGATTTACCCGCGGCGCCGTGTGTATCGGTCGTCGGCGGGGTAAATCTCCCGTCGCTCGCACTTTGGAGCGATGCCAATCGCTCTAGGCAGAGCGACTACATCGCGCGATGCAATCGCAGAGTCTGACCGACATCTATCCAGTGTTTACATCCTCCTAGACAAATATGGACTGCCAATTCACCGACTTCGGAGGATGGAAGATCTGGTTACCCTTGACGGCTTGACGATCCTCAATTTGATCCTCGGACCGCGTGTGGTTGGTCAGGAGCGCCACTTGCCACCAGACCATCCCATCCCCTTTCTATGTTATTACTCTCCAGTACACAAAAACACAACGGAACACTTAAATTTTCGAAACTAAAACTTTTTTAGAATTCATTTATTTAGGAAATTCATAACATGGAACGTTAGAACAGCCACATACCGGGGCAAAGCGTAACAGCGATTGACCGGATGCATTGCAACTAGAAATTTGTGCTGGTAACCGAGCGTGATGATCTTAGACCCAGCCATAACATATTGCTATTTATATAAATAACAGAAGAAAAAAAAACAGATTTAGACAACAGATCGCGCCATGCTGTCTGTCATCGCCATGGATCACCTTCCTATTGGACAGCTCCTAAATCAGGTAAGAATAGCAGATGGAAGCAGTTCTCTTTCGGTCTTAAGTTCAACCTTATGCCTATCATCCTCTTCAAAAGCTGAAGTGTTCTTCGCCACTTGAAAATTGTGAACTATCTAAACAAGCTTCTCAAAACTACTAGCAGTTCCTTGATGTTAGCGCAACACAACAGCATGCGACCTAACCAAAGGAATAAGCTTTTTGGGGTATATGCCAACAGGTCACGGCGCGACGTCGCGCGTCTTGCATTTCAAATTTCGCGCCTAGCTCGGGTGTTTCGTGCTCTGCATAACACACATGCACTTGAGGTGAGCGTGGTAGGATAAGCAGAACACGGAACATTCGAGTTGAGCGCCAAATTCAAACTGCAAGAGAAGCGACGTCGCGCTCTGACCTATTGGCACATAGTTCCCTCTCCTTCCTTAGGTCAGAGTAGTAATGTCAATACTGCTGAGAAAAAGCTGGATGAACAATTCACAATGCCAAGTGCTAACCATCTTCACACCTCTGAAGATGCCGATAAAGTCGAACTTAAAGGCAGATGGTTCTGTCAAAATCTGCTAACCTCACCAAAGAAATTCAAAGTCATGACAATTTCAAGTAGACAGAACTGCCCATTTCAAAGCCATCCAGCCGATGACAGACAGTGAACACAAACCATTGTATTCGCTAAAACTAACACAGCTAAAACCTGGTGTGAGGAGAACTAAAACTATAACACAACGAGGCCCCGACATGTGTAAATCTTTTCTTCTCGACATAAACGACAGCTTTTCTCGACTATCCACACAATGAAACAAATTTCTACCCCAGTAATGCGTATTTGTGTGTTTGCCCCCAACCAGAGATCGACAACACCGCAGTGCTTGCGCGAAAGACGACGACAACCACACGGTATCGATGCAATAGAGTCGCTCGCCTCAACGTTAACGTCAGCCAGCCAGCTAACCAGCTGGTTGCGCCATGTCGACGGCGGGCGACAGCGATGGCAGGAGAGCCGCGGCACGGTTGATGCACCCCTCAACATACATATGAGCCTAACCATATCCAACGATGACCAAGAGTGATGAACAAAACAACGATTATGCAAAACTACACACACGCACACATGGACATACCTCATTACATTATTGAACAATATCACTTTCCTGACATTTGAAGATGAAGAAGACGAAAATCGAAGAGGATGAAAAAGGAGAATAATGACGGAATGTGTGTAAACGTTCTGTGTGAAGTGATGAATTAACTGCTTCTTGTTAGGTCTGACATAATCCACACACTAATCTACTTCGCTCTCTACGCACGCAGCAATACAATGCAATATCGCGGCGTGTACCACACGGGGGGGGGGAGAATAGCACGACGACGCTCGCTTTTTTTACTACAAAGAAATCGAGGTATGGCGACTCTCTGACCTAAGGACGTATAAAGCAATGCTGAGGCATGGATTCAAATGGTATCACTAGTAACACGAAACCCGACTACAAACTGCATCAATATGCACATGTGTTGTTCCCGTCCGCTTGTCCATTAGGTATGGCACCGGCTGCTACATTAGTTGAAACGACGGTTTCCCGATTGGAATCGGCCACCACCGCGACCCTGAAATCAGTAGGTCTAGGAATTCTTTACGGGAACACTAACGATAAGAATTCTTTCAATAACACCAAATTTGTTTTAAGGCAACATCAATTTAAACGTTAAACGCAGCGACTGCAATAATTTGATGCCGATAAAATTTGAAAGCATGGGTGCCAAAGGATGGGTTGGTGAAAAAAAAACCAAAACTAACAATCGAAACACCGAGAAAAGGAAGCCTTTGCTCGCCAGCTCATCTCAGAGTGGACGAGTTTACTAACATAGAGGTCTTCTGATGCATCTTCTGAACTAGGTAGCGAAGGTCCTTCACCTTTTGAACTTCTCTACCTTCCCCTCTACCCATCCTTCTCTGTCATAACATTCAATTCATGACTTCTGCTCTTGAAGCAGGTCTTCTTCAGGCGCACGCAATCGAGATGTGCGGATCATTTGAAACCAAAAAGCTGCTTTCATACTTAGCGAATTGTAAACACTCGCTAATGGCAAACGTTTAATATTGGATAAATCTGAGCGCCATTGCTGATGCTGTCTTCCATTATTCTTTGTCTCATGCAATGGCTCTATGTTGAATTGACCAAAAGGAGGTAAAGGAAAAGGAAAAAAATCAACATAAAATCTTCTGCGAAATAGTTGGAAAAGCGAAAGTAACAAATTTAAAAATTCTAAAAAACTGTTATAATCACATTACGGAAAAGTAACTTACGGCAAATTAAGAGCAACTCACTTGTTGGTATCCTCCCCTATGCCCTCCTGGACCACCGTAGCCGCCACGGTAACCACCTCGCCTCTCGCCACCCATCGACTTGTTGTACGTTGAAGGTGGTCTCTGAGGGGCACTATGTGATATCCTGGGCGTGTCGCTCACCGGCTCACCCACTAAATGAACCAAAAATAAGAAATATATTTCACTACATTGTTTCTGTAATGAGTTTGAAAAACTGACTTGGTTGTTGTGATTTCAACGGGCAAAAAACGGCAGAGTGGGAATTTTCGCCCGTTGCACCACACAGACTGCATGAGCGTTTGCGTAGTTCTGGGCACGTAACCTTTCCATCTGGTGCACGGATTCTAAAAACTGCTTATCCTGAGAGTTAGGCGAGTGAGCTGGTTGACCATAAATCACACTTACACGTGGGAGGTAGCGACCTCCTCAGACAGACCAAGATTACGACAGAATGTGCAGTCCATCTTGACAGGAGTTGTTGATGTGTCTGAGGCCGGCATCGGCTGGACGGAGGCCATTGGTGGAGCATCTTTGATGCGCAGCTCCAGATTTTCTTTTTCTGGAAGCTCGTCTTCATTGAGCTCCTTTTCTTTCGTCTGCACAACCTCGGGCTTCACCGACATCACGGGGGCCACAGCAACCACCGGAACTGTTGGACGCTTATCATTTTTCGTCTCAGCAACTGAAACACGAGATTTTCTCGCGAACGCGCTCTTCGCGAAACTGGTAATGGAGTTGAGCAGGACTTGGGTTACCTGTGGGCGGAGGAAGTTCCTTGGTGACCTCGGACTCAGGAGACGATTTCACTTCGGAAGGTGACTCAGCTCTCGGTGGAGCTTCTGTCTTTTCTTCCCTCTTCTCCTCTTCCTCCACCACAGGCTCGTTCTTCTTTTCTTCTTGTTCTTGCTGCACAGTCTCGGCTTCGAGTCTGCTGGCTTCACCTGCTTTCAGCGACAACTTCTCAACCTCCGCACTGGCAGCGGCTATCATTTCAGCAGCTCTTGCTTCGTCTTTCGGTGTTTCAGCCACGGAGCTTTGCCGTGAGAAACTCTGAGGCGAGTTGCTCTGCTGGAATCAGCTTACTTAGTTAATCATAAAAGGCAGATATATACTTACCAAGCTCACCACCAGCTTCCTAAAATAATTCTCACTCGAGAGGCTAGATCGAAACAGCAATTACTTACCTTACTCTTGGGTTGGAATGACGAGCTGCCACGGAAGTTCGAACTGGTGCGGGAGTTACGCCCTTGAATTCACATCGATCTTAATTCTATGCTCAACGACAATCTCAACAACACGAACCTCGACTTGGTGATGACTGCATCATATGGGGCATGCCGAAATGAGGGGTCATCATGAATGGCGGGGCCATCGCATTGGGAGGAAATCCGTACATGCGAGGATGAGGCGATGGACCATAACCGGTTGATGGTGTGACCAACGGCGGGATCGACGATGTCGCACTGCGAGATTCATGTGTTGGCTGTTGTGGTGGCATCATTCCCATCATTGGCTGCATTCCAGTCGGCATTCCCGGAGGCATGCTCATCGGTCGCACAGGCTGAAACGCATCTCGCCGTTCTTTAACATTTATTCACATTCTCTCAAAGGTGCAAGAAGGGTGGTCTTAAATATCGGGCTTCACGAGGAAAAAATCAAACGCGTAGATAGTTGTGAATAAAAGTGGAATACATGGCTTAGTCCAAAGTGATTGATAACTGCAGAGCAACAAATTCACGTCATTCCATTTTCTTCTTAAGCGCAGCAGAAAACCCCAAATTAATTTGGCCTGTAGCGCTCGACTTTGGCGCGACCATTTATATCTATCACATCAACAGACTTTACATGAAACTAGGAGGAAGGAAGTTATAAGAAAAGATAGATGACAGCCGCCTAACCGGACGTCTGCCATCCGGTTCCCCATTTGTTACCGCCGCCAAAGCGGCTTGAATTGGGCACTTTATGCATGACCTCAGTGCTGGGCACGGCAATGAGGAACTAGGAACACTGCTCTCACATTCGGCCACAGCTCGATACATTCATTCCCACTCACAGATCATGAGAAAGAACGGTCTTCCCTTGAGATCTCAGAGCAGGATTTCGCTAGAAAATTCACTAGTCATAGGATGCCTTGTGCCGATTCATACGAAGCATCACAAAGAAAATAACGAAATGAAAAAAGGTTCAAATATTTCGAAAGCATCATATGCATCGCAGCATCACGATATATGGAGTCGTTTGAGAACTAGACATATTTCAATGACGAACCTGTACAGGTGCTATGCCGGACCCAAACTCGGGTTCACTAAACTGTTCCATAGCCATTGGCGGTTGTTGCTCCACGACGCCTTGTTGGTCTGAAAAATTTCAGTGTCGTTTTCGGTGGAAATATTTACAAAATAGGCAAAATTCTGGAGCAAAAACAAACATGGCGCCGGTGCTTGGTCATTAGAAGCTTGGTTCGGGGGCATGTGGTGTACTACAAATGGCATTGGAACCATTACATGTTGTGACGGTTCCACAGGAGCATAGCCAACCTCCGCCCGAGGAACAAATACAGCCTAAGATACAATATGAAATTAGAAAACGAAATAATATGCTAAACGCTGCCAAACGACAACTTTAAACCATCTTATGGTTACGACAAAATGGGCCTGGGCCCTAAACTTTCAATATTTCCGGAAGCATGACAAAAAAGAAAATTCAACTAAATGCTGAAAAAATGAGGAAAAAAGTAACTGAAAAATTATGGCAAACTGAAAGGCAAAGCAGGTGATTCAGCAAGTTAACGTACCGGCCGAACTGTTGGTTGCATATACATCCCTGCCGGAGGATAATGCATACCAGCAGGGACGACTTGTTGCCCAATGTATTGGGGAGCCACCATCTGCAAGCACGTTCCTTCATTCAAACAATTCAGGGCTTAAATAGGTAAGATTACCTGCGGATGCGGCACAGGCATGATGAACTGGCCACCACCGCGTTGTTGAACGGTTATCATTGCTTGTGGGGGCTGGTTCATTTGCTGTGGAGCTTGTTGCTGCTGAGGATCTTGTTGCATAGGCGGCCCATTATAGGCAGGGTTTCCATTGCCAGGATGGATCTGATACGAATATAGCGAAATTCAATAACACTGGCAATAGCGTTGCGACGTTGCGGCACCTTATTACTCTGCACAAATGCAACATTAATCAAGGAAACTCAGAAAAGGGATGGCACAGCGCTAAGTACTTGTATTGATCGAGTTGAGGCGCATTCAATATTTTGCACAATGTGCTATGTTGCCCAAGAATTCGATGCAACCCAGAAATAGCTTCTATTCAATTACTCCCTTCTTTCAGTGTTCAAAAAGACCAGCATTGGGATACGTGCTCATTAGCGCCGCAGCTTCCTGCGCCACGAGAAAATGCTCAATATGGGACTATCGCGTCAATGTGGGATGCCCCTCCTTCTCACAAAACGTCTTAAACAACACAGTAGCTTATGAGGCTTAAAAACGGTGAAGAGAATGTAAAGAGTCCAAAAAACATCACATGAAAAGCCGCCTTCGTTATAAAGCCATGCAGGAAGTGAAAGTGCCCGATCAACCCCCTCCCCCACTTTTTTCACGTTGTAGGGTAGAATCACGAACAGTCGTCTTTCAATCTTCACTGTCAAGCAGAATTCGCAGCAGGATTAACGGCACCTCGCAGTATTCATCGGGCACTTCCAACTCCTGTGATCCATCGCAGGTTTCGCGCAAAATCGCGAAAATCGCGAAATCGCGAAATCGCGAAAATCAGCGAAACCTGCGACGGATCGCTGCGTCATGTGGCTGCGGTATTAGGGAGATGCTTTTCTTACGTTAATGTAACGCATAAAGACAACATCCGAAAGGGCGACATGCCTACC